TGTCTCGCCTAGACACCTACGTGAATATTCACTAAACACGACACGTGTCCCAGCTAAACACCTACGTAAATATTCACTAAACACAACACGTGTCTCAGCTAAACGCCTACGTGCATCCTCACTAAACACGACACGTGTCTCAGCTAAACACCTACGTTTGTCTCCACTAAGCACGGCACGTGTCTCACTTAGATACCCACGTGAAAATTCACTAAACACGACACGTGTCTCAGCTAAACACCTACGTTTGTCTCCACTAAGCACGGCACGTGTCTCACTTAGATACCCACGTGAAAATTCACTAAACACGACACGTGTCTCAGCTAAACACCTACGTTTGTCTCCACTAAGCACGGCACGTGTCTCACTTAGATACCCACGTGAAAATTCACTAAACACGACACGTGTCTCAGCTAAACACCTACGTGCATCTCCACTAAGCACGGCACGTGTCTTACTTAGACACCCACGTGCGTCTCCACTAAACACGACAAAGCCGTGGCTGTCGGGCGCGAGCTACACGGCAGGGGGCGCCGCTCGCGACGGCGACTCACCCGTGGCGGACTCTGGCGGCAGAGCTCCTCGTAGGCCTCGCGCTCGGGCACGACGTGGTCGACGGGGTGTCGGACCTCGGCGTGCTGCGCCGGCGCCTCCTCCTTCATCGCCGCGCCGTCGTCTCCCTTCCTGCGCAGCTTCTCCTCGCTCGTCTCGATGTACGACTCGTAGTAGCGCTTGTTGCCGCTCGCCCGGCTGTGGTCCGGACCTGTGCACCAACCATCGAGCGTATAGCATCGACAGTTCGCGCGCGAGTGTCGACGGTCGGCGCCCGGATGTATCGCGTCTCGAATAAACGGGCTATAGATGGCGTTGATACTAGAGAACTACTTAGATGGCATGTATACTAGATAACTATTTAGATAGCATGTATATCTGAGATACAATCCTTGCGCACGTTATTACATGTTTCTCGTGGGCTCAGGATCGCCACTTATCAGGTACATATTTTTATGTTTGCAGACTTGTGTCCCCATAAAGCAGGGTATATAATTATATATATCATTATACAGTAGCATAATGATAAATTCACGTATTATTTATGATGGTTGATATATATCATTGGGGACAGATCATATGTTATAATTATCAGTTTAAATATTAGTATGAATGGCCAATGTCTTTACTTTCTACTTGCTACTAATACACAACATGCCCGTCATGTCTTTACGTTTTATGTCACAACGAGTACACAAAATGGCTGTCAGTGTATAAATGTTAAATGCCACTACTCATACAAAAAAGCCTGTGGAGCTGTTTACGTTCTACATTGCTACTAGTGAACAAAATGGCCACGGGTGTCTTTACGTTCTATGTTGCTATTATCACACAAAACGGCCGTCAATAACTAATATTAAACATGAACTAAACAAGGCTGCCGATCTCTTTACATTCTACATCGTCACTAGCACACAAAATGGCCGACAACGTCTTTACATTCTACATTGCTACTAGTTAGCATACAAAATGGCCACCGATGATGTTCTACTTGTTAATAGTACACAAAATGGGCGCCACCGTCTTTACGTTTTATGTTGCTACTTGGATTCATAATGACGGAACGGAATATTAACACCAATCCCAGAAGCAGTGCTCGAAATAAGCGTTGTCCGGTTGTCCGAGACAACCAGAATTTGCGCCGGACAACCTAACCAGTCTGAGACATTGTCCGGTGGACAACCAAGAAAAATGTGACGAAAAACGCACTTTATTTATGTTTTTCTCAGGGGTTCTCCAAGAGCACTTATAGCCTGGCGGCCCGCCATTAATCTATGGTGTGGGAAAGCGACGCATACCAGCTGCTATTTCCAACACTGGTATACATGGTATATGTCAGGTTTTCTGATTTATGAGAA